GTGACCGCTTGAATTATTATCATTGATATTTATGGTTATTGTGTTTAATAATAAGATGAAGTAGAGCCTTAAGAAATACTCACGGTTCCTAAAATATGATTTTATGTAATTGTGTTATTACTTCCTAAAGTTTATTTCTAATATTATTTTATTTCTTTATTAATTTAACATTGCTGTACATTTTCTGATTTACTTATAATAAGTTTTGCAACGGGTTAAAAATTTCACAGTATACTATACTTATAGTAAGAATGTTCGTCTGTCATACATTGAAACGATTTTCCCATGTATCGGTAATGTGTTTAACAAATATATTAATTGTCGAGTAACGTTTTCACTTCGGGTTATACTTAATTAATTTATGGCTAGGGTTAAAAATAGAATTACATTAATAGATAAGTGTGGTATTTGCACGATTCCTTGTAACTGTGGTCTAATTAATATTGGTCAAACACGTGGAAATTTAAAACTCAGACGTAAGGAACATAAATCAGCCACAGAAAACCGTAACATGTAGCTCAAAATTCTGATTATCCCATTGTTGACTGGAATAATATCAACTTGCTTACCTTAAGAATTTAAATTTAGCTTTAAGTAAAGATGTGGGTCCAGGAGTTGTAGAAAGTCATTTCTAGAAATCCTTTTTCAAAGAGAGATAAAAGGTGGCAGCACCATGCATATCAAATGATTGGTCAATGTATTTCCATTGTGCAAAATAGCAAGATTTAAACATTATTGTGTTTTTGTTTTTTTCCAATGCCGATTTCATTCCAGATGATGATAGGTTTGTGACCTACCAAAACAGAAGTGTAGGCGGTAAATCAAAAGTGGGAAGAATCAAGCTTTGTTTGACCAAGCGAAGCGGGGGAATGTGCACTCGACTTAGGGCTTGGAAGCTCTTGGGTTCTGGATAAAATTTTATGCTTTTCCTAAGAGTAATTTTCCTAATTTTGATGTATTTTTATGAGAATAGATTGAAAAGCGGGGGAGAGGGGCGGGTCCCCGCTTCCTACGCCACTGCGAAACATGTTTATTTTTAGTAAGACCTGGTGCCTTCACTGATTTCAAGTTACTGTGTAATTTTAAATGTTGTTTTAAGTGAGTTTTTAATAAACATCTATACATAAATACCGTGTTTCTATTTTTTTATATTTATGTAATATTTGTTATACTCGAAAAACCAACAAAAGAGTTGACGAACAAAGTGGCAGAGACAAGTGTTTCACAAACACTGTCCACCATATTACAGAAGAGCTAATTGATGAAATTCTTCTTTTTGGTAACATTCAAAACCTAGAGAAACATTGAGCATGATATTTTTTAACGTAAGATATCTGCAATGCTTTAAAAATAATGTAACATTTTTTATATAAATTAACGTGTGGTATATAAGGTGCTTTCTGAAAAAAATCAAAATTATAGAGAAAAAACAACAACATAATAATAACTATATAGAACTTTAGTATGCTGGCTTTTCGGAGTATAAATTGTTTATTTGTATGTTTGACAAGCATGTATTAGATGTTTATTTTACAAAGATTATGTGTTGCCAGATGTTGAGTGTCCAGTATGAATAGATTATCTTATGTTAGTTGACATATTCAATAAATTGTCCAGTATACTATTCTCAGGGATTGCATACAACTTTATAATCTTTGTACAAATATAACATCTTTAGATTATGCGTCACTTGTGAATATACTATTATGGACTATGTTAAACACTTCTGAAAATATTATTTTCCTCCGTTTGTATTCGTTCATCATTTATAGCAATTACGTAGGCTTAACTGCTCATTGTTTTCTACCTTATATAAAAAAAAATTATAGATGTTAGTTCCCATGCATGATTATGAAAATATGAACACAATTCTACACTATTAATAAACACTATTAGTGTGAACGGCTACATAAGTGTTTCTGAAATTTTACAGAACAGCTGTGTAAATATATGCATAACATTTGTGTAACCTTACACCCTTTTGTGTTTCCCCTTGTACAGCTGTCGCACAAGGGCGAATAGATAGCTCAATTCTCAGGTTTCCAGAGTGTGATTGGTGGAAATATGCAACTTAGTGGAGTTATTATCTAGTAATCGACTGTTCACTCTTGTCTAGGGTCTCAGCCAGTAAAGCTGTCTTGATTTTGTTCTGTACTATTTGAACAAAGGGGGTTTAGTTAACAGTTTAAAACTTTAATTTAAGTTCAGTTTGCTTTTGATTTAGATTCAGCTGCACTTCGTTTGCTGAAAGTTTTGTTCTCTGTTATGTAGTGTGAACGCGTGTTGCATTTTGCTTGGGTTTGCGCAAGCGTACAATAAATAGTTTGTGCTTCCTGTTGCATATTTTGTGTCTCGTCCTTTCGATGCCAGTTTACTAACTGAATCCTTTATTTCTCCAATCATGTGCGGAGTCTAATTACTTGTTGATTAATAAATCTTGATTAAGATTGCCACGCTTGAACAGAAGGTTTCGTCATAGGAAAGAAAAGAGCTTTACGATCTTATCAAAACTGGAAATAGCCATATATTAAAATATCCGAACATGTGTGGTTATATGTAGAATAAACTATAGGTTTCGTCATAGGAAAGAAAAGGAGCTTTACGATCTTATCAAAACTGGAAACAGCCATATATTAAAATATCCGAACATGTGTGGTTATATGTAGAATAAACTATAGGTTTCGTCATAGGAAAGAAAAGGAGCTTTACGATCTTATCAAAACTGGAAACAGCCATATATTAAAATATCCGAACATGTGTGGTTATATGTAGAATAAACTATAGGTTTCGCTATTACAACCAAATATTCAGTACAGGATGTTCGAAAGTAACATTTCAAAGAAAACCTAACATTATGCTATTATAAAAACGTGTTGCCGTTACTGTTCACTCACAGCTCACAATTCAAAGTAAATTTAGGTGAAGTCACTTTCTGAAGATCGTGATGATAATTATTGATATAGAAATTCATAACCTTCAGTTGAAAATATTAAAGAATTTTTTTGAACAGTGTTTCAAACACGTTTTGACCGCATCACTTCAAATCCTACTTGTTGTAGTTATTGTATATATTGTAGTACAACAATCGAGAGAGAAATGTATTTACGAACACCTTCAGTGTTTATATTAAGTAGAAAGGCCCGGCATGGCCAGGTGGTTAAGGTACTTGACTCGCAATCTGAGGGTCGCGGGTTCGAATCCCCGTCACACCAAACATGCTCGCCCTTTCAGCCGTGGGGGCGTTATAATGTGACGGCCAATCCCACTATTCGTTGGTAAAAGAGTAGCCCAAGAGTTGGCGGTGGGTGGTGATGACTAGCTGCCTTCCCTCTAGTCTTACACTGCT